TGTTAATAATAGTTGGTAACGAGTTGAAGTTTATTAAATATTTAGTTGAATGTAGTAGGTAAGTTTTAGTAAAAGCATGGAGAAATTTGGCACAAGAGCAATGACATTTAAGAACAAAGTATGTTTTATCATCCTAAAAATATGCTTCATTTTTATGTTTTATTTTCCAAAATTTTATATTTTTTAATAATTTTTGAGAAAATTTGTAATTTATGAGAAAGTTTTTAATTTTTAGACAAGTTTTAGGTTAATTATTTTTACATTGCCTACTTTCTGGCGTTTTCATTATAAGCTTGAAATCTGCATTTTAAAAACGCCTAGAAATATCCTATAGTAAAAAACATTTTGTGATTTTTGTTTTGTGGTTTCTTTAGCATATTCCTTTTTAGAGGTGTTGTTAAACTTTCTTTTTTAATTAAAACCCTTAAACGTTTTACGCAATTAACCATTTTGACTTTGGTATGCAAATTAAATTGTATTATGGTTGATTGTAAGCCAGAGAGTATACAAGAAGAGACAGGGAGAGTGAGAAACAGAATTTAAATTCTATACAATCTAGAGTTTGAGTATGAAAGTTGAGATGTATGATGATGCATTTTCAGTTTTCTGCTAATTTATTCAAAGTACTTGTCTTTACAGACACACATACACACACTGTTATTACCACCCGCTTGCACAAAACACAAGACGTTGGCTGTTGAATAATTTAAAATGCTTTAAATGCAAGGCAATTTTCACACACACACACATACACAATAAGCTAACAGTTAGTTTCACAGACATTTTGCAACTTGCATGTGTATAAACACAAGTTAAAAGCTTCTAGTATAATTTTCTTTCGTCTTTTTTTTTTTTGTTGCTCTCCTCATGTTGCTAGACTTATTTGACGTTTTAAAAAGGGAATAAGGCCTCTCATTTCATCAGATTACTGTCAGCACTCTTTAGTCAAATGATGAAATACAATTCCTACACTCTATAACATATACGAGTCAAGCAGAATACATGCAGCACAGCACAATATTGTAACGCTACTTATGCAAATTTGAAAATAACGTGTCTGTCTTGTTGTTAATATAAATTTGCATGTGTAACTTCTTCTTGTTGTTTTTTTTTTTTTTTGTTTTGTTACTCCTAAATATATAGACAATGAAATGTGTTTGTGTGTATTTAGAGCTAGAGAAGTATGTTTGGTAAATGACATGAAAACTCATTGAGTATCAAGCAACATGTCATTTTTATACTCTAGATGAAAATACTCAACAACTATGCAACACACAAAAAGCGTTCAAATTCAAAAGTGTGTGTATAAGTGTATGTGTCAGTGTTAGTATCTATTTAATAGACAACACTACAATACAACATCAACAGAAATTTTCTACGTGTACGTGTACGTGTGTTGGTTTTCTAGCTATTGGTGTTAGTTGGCACCTACTTGTACACAACTCAACACTTTTGTGTTAACAGTCCTTTTGCTTTTTGCCAGATTTGAATACTCTAATCAATGACTGAAGTTTTCTTGATCAAAAAGCTAAAATGTACACTCTTACTTGCAGTATCTAATCATCATTATAAAATGGCAGTAACTTAAAATGACTGAGAAGACTTTATTTGGTTAAAGGTTGGGAGCAAAGAAAAAAAACCATAGATTTTAAAATTTAACTTGGGCTTTAATTTTAGTAAGAATAACAGCTTTCATTCAATGTATGACTTTAGGATCTAAAAATGTGTCATACTTTTAGAAGTTAAAAGAAATTTGTTAAAAAATTTACTGTAAAACGAATCTTTTAAAATGTTTTAATTAATAATATTAAACGTAAAATTGTTTAAAATTCAAAGCATAATCTTATGAACTAAAAATATTGCATAATTTTAGGAGCAGCTTTTAAGAATTTATTAAAAATTAAAAATTTTACTAAAATTCACTAAAAGTATAAAATTTTTAAAAATTTCACTAAAACAAAATCGAAAATTTACTAAAAAATAGAAAATATTTCAAATATTTACTAAAAACAGCAAATATTTCAAAAATTTACTAAAAATAGCATAATTTTAAAAAATTCACTAAAAATAGCAAATTGTTCGAAAATTCACTAAAAATATCAAATTGTTCGAAAATTCACTAAAAATAGCAAATTTTTCGAAAATTTACTAAAAATAGCAAATTTTTCGAAAATTTACTAAAAATAGCAAATTTTTCGAAAATTTACTAAAAATAGCAAATTTTTCGAAAATTTACTAAAAATAGCAAATTTTTCGAAAATTTATTAAAAATAGCACATTTTTCGAAAAATTATTAAAAATAGCAAATTTTTCGAAAATTTACTACAAATACCAAATTTTTCGAAAATTTACTACAAATAGCAAATTTTTCGAAAATTTATTACAAATAGCAAATTTTTCGAAAATTTACTAAAAATAGCAAATTTTTGGAAAATTTACTAAAAATAGCAAATTTTTTTAAGATTTACCAAAAATAGCACATTTTTCGAAAATTTACTACAAATAGAAAATTTTAAAAAAATTTACTACAAATAGCAAATTTTTCGAAAATTTATTAAAAAAATGCAAAATTTCCCAAAAATATATTAAGCTAACTTCTTAAAAATATTAAAATCCACAGCATAACCTTAGGATCTAAAAATGCTGCATACTTTTAGGAGAAAAAAAAACAAGTTGAAAATATCTAAAAATAAAAATAGCTGAACAATTTTTTTCAAAATTTTGTACTAAAACCAAATTTTCTTGTAAATTAATAATAAACCAAAATATTAGGCGTAGTCCTTTTTCTCCTTTACATTTTGAAAAAATCCTCCTTTTTTTCTTAAATTAAAAATGTTCTTTATATTCTCAACTTTATCCTTCTTTTAAATTATTCTAGTCATGAACTCCAGCTCTTCTTTTGTTTTTTGCCTTGAGTTTTAATGTTTACTATATTGTTATTTTTTCTCGTTTTCTACTCTCTTCCTAGTTTACGTCAAAACTTATTATTAATATTATGACCTTAGTATGGGTATAGCTATCTATATGTTTTAAAGTTTGTAAATATGTATATTTGTCTATATGTATGTATTCATATTATAATCATAACCACACTGCAATTTTATCTTTCATACACAGCTGTGCATTGAACCTTAAAATAATCACAAACATAACAATAACAATTACATTGCAACTACAACTACAAATACATGTAGTACATAACAATAACAGAATACAATTTTTGTTGTTATTGGAGAATGTGAGTAAGCAGTTATTGCAAAAGTTTTGCATAAAGATGTTTTTCTGTTTTCCTTGAAATCAAACAAAAAATTTAAAATTGCCAAAGAGAGGAAGGGATATATAGAAATTTTAAAGGAAACAATTTAAAGAAAACAATTTCTAAGCAACAATACAGTACAAATTTAAAGCCTACTTTTAGGATTACAAACTATTATCTCTTAACTTGGGAGTTAATATTTGAGGAAATTATTGCTATTTTATCAAATTTCATGTATACATTTCCCAATGTGAAAGAGCTTTTTAAACTTAGCTTCCATTCATTATACACATTTTATGTTGCCTACTTTTAGAAGCCTACTTGTAGTTAGTCACAAATTACCTTTTATATATAATTTTAACCACTTATATCCTGTTCTCTTTGTTAACCTACTCCAAATTTTGTACTTATCCTTTTGTTTAAGTTATTCCTTTTATGTTTAATTTGTTTGTTTTTATTTTTTTTTTTTGAAAAGTATTCTATTTTATATATTTTGTTTTTATTGTGCTTAACAGGATTTTTTTGGTACTATTCTTATTGTAGCACTATTCTTATTGTTTGTATTTTTAATTAAAAACAATATACTTCTGTAGTGCATTACACACACACTTTTAGATACATGTACACAGAAAAAAGTATGTACTACTTTAATAACTTCAACTTGTTATACTTCATATACAGAAAAAATATTTTGTAGTGAATAGGATGCAAAGTATAATAAATAGAGTTCTATGTAAAAATGTTTTTTTTAAGGAAACAACATCAAAAAACGAGCTGTTCTAAACAATTACAAAAATAAAGTTACTATAAAAATGGGTAGAAATGTTAACAATTTCAACAGCATTTGTTATATGTATATTTTATTTAACAAAACAAATACAAAAAGGAATGTGTTGTAGAGCGAGAAAGGGCTAACATCAAAAACTAATTTTTGGAAACTAAACTAAAAATAGATATTTTTATAGATTTGAGACTAAAAATAGCAATTCTAGTTCAGTTCTAGTTCAGTTCTAGTTCAGTTCAAGTTCAGTTCTATTTCAGTTCTAGTTCAGTTCTAGTTCAGTTCTAGTTTAGTTCTAGTTCAGTTCTAGTTCTAGTTCTAGTTCTAGTTCAAGTTCAGTTCTAGTTCAGTTCTAGTTCAGTTCTAGTTCAGTTCTAGTTCAGTTCTAGTTCAGTTCTAGTTCAGTTCTAGTTCAGTTCTAGTTCAGTTCTAGTTCAGTTCTAGTTCAGTTCTAGTTCAGTTCTAGTTCAGTTCTAGTTCAGTTCTAGTTCAGTTCTAGTTCAGTTCTAGTTCAGTTCTAGTTCAGTTCTAGTTCAGTTCTAGTTCAGTTCTAGTTCAGTTCTAGTTCAGTTCTAGTTCAGTTCTAGTTCAGTTCTAGTTCAGTTCTAGTTCAGTTCTAGTTCAGTTCTAGTTCAGTTCTAGTTCAGTTCTAGTTCAGTTCTAGTTCAGTTCTAGTTCAGTTCTAGTTCAGTTCTAGTTCAGTTCTAGTTCAGTTCTAGTTCAGTTCTAGTTCAGTTCTAGTTCAGTTCTAGTTCAGTTGTAGCTCAGTTCTTGTTTAGTTCTAGTTTATGTAACAAACTATAAATTTTCTAAAAATTAACTAAAAATAGCAATTTTTTAAATTTACTATATCAAGCCCTTCGTAGCTTTTGTACTATAATTATTTCAATTTTGCATTTGTTTTTATTTTACTATATTTGATGTATTAAAAATGGTTTTATAAAAAAAATAAAATGTACTTACCCTTGCTAGCACCGTCTGGACCTCTGAGTATGGTACACTCCTCTATAGTGCCAAAGGGATTAAAAATTTGTCTAACATCCTCTTCGGTTTGTTGTTTACTCAACATGCCAACGAATAGTTTGCGATCTATATTATGCTCTGTTTATTTGTAGTAGTAGTAGTTAGAGTAGTAGTGGTTGGTAGGTTGGTGATTGGTGTTGGTACAAGTACATGGTTGGTGGTGGTACATAAGTGAGGAATAGTATATGTATATGATGAAGGAGTTTTTTTGGTTTGGTTTTGGATGATGAATTTTTTTTTTTTTGGTTTCGTTTGGTTTTGTTGGTTGGTTGATGGTTAAGAGTAGAGTTTTTTTTCAAAACAACAACGGCATACAAAAACAATAATAATTAATACAATACATGGATGGTGGGGGGAAGAGGTGAGGTATCATCATAAAAATAGAAAAAAATAAAAATAATAATAATAAATAATTTTGTAACAAATTAAAATTTTAATTTTAAAGTTTTGCATAAGGATTTGTTTAAAACCAATAATAAAGGGGAAGAATAATAATAAAAAATAACAAATTTACGGCAAATACAAAAAGTCAGCCCGCATTAACATTTATGTTTACATAACAAAGTATTAATTTAAAATATGTCATTTAAGAGAAGAAAGAGTAACAAAAACAAATTTCAATGCAGTTTTTTTTTTTAATTTGTTTAATAAAAACAACAACAAAAACGCTCAATACAAGTAACAACATTGATATTACGTTTATTATTATTAAATATTAAGTTTTTGTAAAATTGTAAAACAACAACAAAAACATGTAAAAAATTGTAATTGTATAAATAAAAACAAAATATTACAACATTGATAAAAGAAATTTTTATAGTTTTAAAGTTTAATAAATATTTGTAAAATATATTAAATGCAATTGATAAACAAATAATTGTTTTTGTTTTTAAATATTTCCATAAACAAATTTTTTTTTTGAAATTAAATTTTTAGAAAAATGTGTAAGTGTTGGAAAAAAATTTGTTTTTTTTTTTTTGTTAACAAAACGCGAGCGAGCAAAAATTTTGCATAGTTTTATAAATTATAAAAAAAAATTAAAAAGAAAATTATAGAAAATGAAATTAAGTTAAAACCAATTCAATATTTTTTTTGTTTATTTTATTTAATTGAAAATTAATTTAAAAAAATAGAGCGCCAATTGTGTTTTGTGTTTAAGTACGATTATTTTTTGAATTTTTTTATTATATAGAGACGAAATTTTGTCAGTTTATTTTTTGGTAGAGCACAAAAAAAAAGAAAAAAAGTAGAAAATAGATGGAAAAAATATTGATTTAGTAAATGTTTTGTTTCTTTTTGGGTTTTTTTTTTTTTGAAAATTAACAAATTTCTATTTAGCATTTAATGACTAAAAACAATACAGACATACAATTTAATTGAAAAAAGAACATTACACACTTAATCTAAGAGTAAAAAGTAAAAAAAGTTAAAAAAATAAATAACAAACTAAAGATGATTAACAAGAAAAGTTATTTAATTGTACGAAAAGCAAAAGAAGACTACACAAAAATTTCTGTAGCATACTTTTAGGTATTAATTAAAAATTATAATTTTCCTTAAAGCATACAAAACAAATGTTTGTTCATGTTTAGAAAATTATGGTTTCTTAGGTTTTATATTCAAATACTTTTCTTAAAACTTTTCTTGTTTAAATAAAGAAAACAAAAATGTTTTAAATAATAATAATAAAACACAGTTACACACACACCACATCACAACACAACAACAATCAAATTAAGCTTTTTTTTGTTGCTTTTAGCTAAAATGTAAACTACTAAACAATTAAGAGGTAATAAAAACTGTTTTCTTTTTTTTTATTATTGAAATGAGTAAAAATGTGTTGAGTTAAGAACTTTTAGTAAAAATTGTAAAATGTTGAGAAAAAAACTGTTTAATTTTAACATTATAAATGTATAATTTTTCCAAAAAAATTTGCAATTTGAAAAATGTTTAACATAAAGAACGTATCAGACTATGCCACTATAGTAACCATTAACATTTCTTAACTTTAAGCTATATTTATGTTAACCCCTGAATGTCCTTTTTCGCACATATCTTCAAAAATTTAAATATTTGCATATTTTTCTTTTAAAAATTTTATATTTGTCTTCAAACTTAAGATTTCTAAACACAAAAATTAAAAAAAACTTTTAAAAACATTTTTTCCAAGTTTTCTTAAAACTTTTTATATAAAATTTTGTTTTTTTTCTATCATACAGTTAGCATTAATCCCTTAATATTGCTAATCAAAAGAAATTTTTCATTTAACACAAATATTTTCATAGTCCGCCATATATCCTTTTTTTCAATATATTAAAATTTAATTAAATTCTTAAAATTTCCTTTCCTCTTAAAGAAATATTTTAAGTTTTTTACTTTAAAACCAAAAAAAAATTTAATTTTTTATAAAATTTAAAAATGTTCTTAAGTAATATTTTAAAATTTGTCAAAAACTTTATTAAAAAGAACTTATTTTTTAGGTCTTAAAAAGGATTTACCACAACTTTTAATATTATACAAATCTTTTTCTTGTTCTCCATATATTCTTTTTTTAAATATATTAAAATATTAGTTATTTTTATTCAATTCCTTTCATTTGTAAGCAATATTTTAAGTTCAACAGAAAAAAAATTATTTTTGTATAAAATTTAAAAAATTTCTTAATATTTTTTTTTTTAAATTTTTCAAACATTTTATTTAAAATGAACGTATAATTTAAAGCAGATTTTGCAGACATAACAAGTTTTGAAATATTACAACTAATTCTCCTGCTCGCCATATATCCTTTTTTCAAAAATTATAAAATTTTTTAAAAATTTCCACAAATTTTTATGATTTTAATGAAATAATAATAGATTTTTGTAAAATTTAATTTTAAAAATTATTATTTCTTATAATTGTTAACAAAATTATCACTTCTTACGAATAAAACAAAGTGTCTTCATTAAATATTTCCTACCACATTAACTCCTATCTTTCAACTGTTTTAATACTTCACATATCCTTACACTTTTCTTAAAAAACTTTCCACTATTTTCTATCAAATTGTTAAGTTTAATTTAGGAAAATTGATTTTCTTGTCTGTTAGCTATAACAAAAAAAAAAAAAACAAAAAATACAAAAATTGTTTCCACTACATTATTGTGATATTTTCTTTACATTTGTCAGTCATTAAATGGCAATTTACATGTCAATGCTTACAGCAACAAACACAGTAAATGTCAGAAAACAAGTTGCTGTTGTTACAAGTTTAACCAGAGTCAGGGGTTAGAAAAAATTGTTAGTTAAATTTTTGTTATTTTCTTTTTTTTATACTATTTATTTAAAATACAATTACTTGTCTGGCATTTTTTCTAGATTATTATTTTCTTGCTAAAAAAAATAAAAAAAAAACTATACAATTAGTAAACTGTCTGTCTTTTGTTAACTCATGTTTTCTCTTGTGCTGCTGTTTCTTATCATATATTTTTTCCGCCTTTATAGACATTTTACTGCTGGGTTTTATATTTTTTAAAGCAAAAGTCATGTTTTATATTTTTCTAGGTTCTGTCTGTTTCGCTGCTTTTTTTAAATAACCTGTAATTTTATGTGGTTAACAATTTCAATTTTACCCTAGAGTCAGTCATTTTTTCTGTTTTGTTTTACTCACTACATATGTAGACAATATTTTTTAACCCAACGAACATAATTTACAATATTTTAATTCAGAACTGAACTAGCACTAGAACTGAACTAGAACTGAACTGAACTAGCACTAGAACTGAACTAGAACTGAACTAGAACTGACTAGAACTAGAACTGAACTAGAACTGAACTGAACTGAACTAGAACTAGAACTGAACTAGAACTGAACTAGAACTGAACTAGAACTGAACTAGAACTGAACTAGAACTGAACTAGAACTGAACTAGAACTGAACTAGAACTGAACTAGAACTGAACTAGAACTGAACTAGAACTGAACTAGAACTGAACTAGAACTGAACTAGAACTGAACTAGAACTGAACTAGAACTGAACTAGAACTGAACTAGAACTGAACTAGAACTGAACTAGAACTGAACTAGAACTGAACTAGAACTGAACTAGAACTGAACTAGAACTGAACTAGAACTGAACTAGAACTGAACTAGAACTGAACTAGAACTGAACTAGAACTGAACTAGAACTGAACTAGAACTGAACTAGAACTGAACTAGAACTGAACTAGAACTGAACTAGAACTGAACTAGAACTGAACTAGAACTGAACTAGAACTGAACTAGAACTGAACTAGAACTGAACTAGAACTGAACTGAACTAGAACTGAACTAGAACTGAACTAGAACTGAACTAGAACTGAACTAGAACTGAACTAGAACTGAACTAGAACTGAACTAGAACTGAACTAGAACTGAACTAGAACTGAACTAGAACTGAACTAGAACTGAACTAGAACTGAACTAGAACTGAACTAGAACTGAACTAGAACTGAACTAGAACTGAACTAGAATGACTAGAACTGAACTAGAACTGAACTAGAACTGAACTAGAACTGAACTAGAACTGAACTAGAACTGAACTAGAACTGAACTAGAACTGAACTAGAACTGAACTAGAACTGAACTAGAACTGAACTAGAACTGAACTAGAACTGAACTAGAACTGAACTAGAACTGAACTAGAACTGAACTAGAACTGAACTACTGAACTAGAACTGAACTAGAACTGAACTAGAACTGAACTAGAACTGAACTAGAACTGAACTAGAATGAACTAGAACTGAACTAGAACTGAACTAGAACTGAACTAGAACTGAACTAGAACTGAACTAGAACTGAACTAGAACTGAACTAGAACTGAACTAGAACTGAACTAGAACTGAACTAGAACTGAACTAGAACTGAACTAGAACTGAACTAGAACTGAACTAGAACTGAACTAGAACTGAACTAGAACTGAACTAGAATGACTAGAACTGAACTAGAACTGAACTAGAACTGACTAGAACTGAACTAGAACTGAACTAGAACTGAACTAGAACTGAACTAGAACTGAACTAGAACTGAACTAGAACTGAACTAGAACTGAACTAGAACTG